TCACTCAGTATTATAGACGCCAAGTTCATCCAGGTTGTTGTGAGGATCATGATTTTGTTCTTCCTTATGACTGCGTAATATTCCATCATGTATATGTACCACTTTTTAAATTCCAGTCCTCTTTGGCTGGGCAGCACAGTTGATTCCATGTTCTTGCTATTGTGAAGAATACTGCGATAAACATACGTGTGCAGGTATCTTTTTTATAGAGTGATTTGAGTTCTTCCGGGTATATTCCAAGTAGGAGGACTGCAGGGTCTTATGGAAGGTTGATTTTTAGAACTTTTAGGAATTGCCACACTGTTTTCCACAGAGGTTGTACTAGTTTACACTCCCACCAACAGTGTAGAAGTATTCTCTTTCTGCCACATCCTCTCAAGCATCTGTTATTTTTTGAGTTATTGATAATGACCATACTGGCTGGAGTTAGGTGGTATCTCAGTGAATTTTAATTGCATTTCTTTGATGACTAGTGAGACTGAACATTTTTTCATGTATCTGTTGGATGCTGGATGTCTTCTTTTAAGAACTGTCTATTCATATCTTTTGTTGTAGGTTTGCTAGGATCTTGTTGAGAATTTTAGCATCTATGTTCATCAAGGATATTGGCCTGTAGCTCTCTTTCTTTGCTGGATCTTTACCTGGCTTGAGTATCAATGTGATGTTGCCTTCATAAAATGATTTGGGGAGATTTCCATGTTTCTCAATTGCCTGGCATACTTTCAATAGGATTGGCATCAGTTCCTCGTATGTTTTGTAGAATTCTGCTGGAAAGCCATCTGGTCCAGGGCTTTTTTTTTTGTAGGTGGTTTTCATATGACAGAGTCAATTTTCTGGATTGTTATTGATCTATTTAGGATTTCAATTTCTTCTTGTTTCAACCTGCAGAGGTTGTGTGATGTCAGAAAGTCCTCCATTTCCTTTAGGCTTTCAAATTTGTTTCCATACAAGTGTACATAGTAGTCTCTGATAATCATATGTATTTCTTCAGGGTCAGTTGTGACTTCATCTTTTGTGTTTCTGATTGTATTTATTTGGGCTTTTTCTCTGTTTTTCTTGGTCAGTCTAGCTAGGGGACATCAATCTTGTTTATTCTTTCAAAGAACTAGCTTCATGTTTCATTGATTTTGTTTTGTTTTGTTTTTTGTATTATCTTTTTGTCTTCTATATCCCGGATTTGGTCTTTTATTTTGAGGATCTGGATTCTTCTGCTGAAGTTAGGATTTTGGTTGTCTTGCTTTTCAAGCCTCCTTAGGTGACTTGTAAAGTTGTTAACTTGTGATCTTTCCATGTTCTTCATGTTTATTTGTAGCAATATGAATTCCCCTCTTCCTACTGCTTTCATGGCATCCCAGAGGTTTTGGTAAGGTGTTTCTTCATTTTCATTTGTTTCCAGGTATCTTTTAATCTCTGTTTTGATTTCCATGTTGACCCAGGAGTTGCTTAGCATCATGTTGTTTAGTGTTCATGACTTTGTGGGTTTGGGGGGAACTTTGTTGGTATTGATTTTTATTTTTATTCTACTGTAGTCTGAGAAGGTGCATGGCAGAATTTCAATCATATGAAATTTGTTTTTACTTGATTTATTGCCAGGATGTAGTCAATCTTAGAGTACATTCTATGTGGAGATGAGTAAAATGTATATTCTGTGATCGTTGGGTGGAGTGTTCTGTAGGTATGAATTAAGTCCATGTGGTAAAGAGTCACACTGAAGTTCCAGATCTTCTTACTGATTTTTTTGTCTTGATGATCTGTCTAGAGTTATGAATGAGGTATTAAAGTCCTCACTTAGTGTTAAAGTCAATATCATTTTTAAGCTCGCCTAGAAGCTGCTTATGAAAGTTGGTTCTCCTACGTTGGGTGCATATATGCTTAGGATGGATATTTATTGTTGGTGAATCAAACATTGCTTAGGATGGATATTTTTTGTTGATGGATCAAACATATCATTATGTAGTGACTGCCAGTATCTTTTTAAATTTTTGATAGCTTAAAGGGTTTTTCTCTGATATTAAGATCACAACTCCTGCTTTCTTTTGTGTTTTATTTGCCTGAAATTCTGTTTCCCATTCTCTTACTTTGAGTCTGTATATGTCCTTTCTGGTGAGATGAATCTCTTGAAGACAATATATTGTTGCCTCATGATATTTTATCCATTTTGCCATTCTATGTCTTTTTAGTTGTGCATTTAGTCCATTCACATACAGGCTAATTATTGAAATGTGAGAGTTTATCCCTGTCATGAAGTTCTTATAGAGTTGTTGTTGTTCCTGTTTGTTTATTGTCTTTCTTTTGATATTTGAGTGGATTCATGTGTGTTTTCAATCTTTTTCCTGCACTCTTGTAAAGAAGGTTGCCGTTCTTTTTTCCCTTTCTTCTGTGCTTAATACTTTCTTAATAGTTTCTTGAAGAGCTGGTCTAGAGGCAGCCTAAGTTCTTAGGGATTGAATGTGTGGGAAAGATTTTAATTCTCCCTCACTGATGAAGCTTAGCTTAGCTGGGTAGGTATTGCTTGTTGAAATTCTTTATCTTTGAGAACTTGTAAGATTGGGCTCCAAGCTCTCCTCGCTTGAAATGTTTCTATAGATAAATCTGCTGCTATTTTAATTGGTCTTCCACAGTAGGTAGTCTGACCTTTTTCTCTTGTGGCCTTTAGGATTTTTTCTTTTATATTTACTTTGTGTAGGTGAATTACTATGTGTCTATGAGTTGGTCTACTCATTTGTCATCTTGCAGGGGTTCTTTGAATCTCTTGTGTTTGAATGGTCACATCACTGATGAGATGAGGGATATTTTCTTGAATAAGTTCATGGAATGTTTATTCCACAGTGGTCTCTGTCTCTCTGTCTGCCTCAGGAAGTCCAATTACTCTTAGGTTCAGCCTCTTGAAATACTTGCTTATCTCTTGAAGGTTTTGTTCTGTCTTTTTAAGCTTTTTTTCTATGTTTTTGACAGTTTGGGATAACTCTATATTTTGATCCTCAAGTTCTGTGATTCTTTCTTCTGCTTGGCTAATTCTGCTTTCCATGCTTATCAGTTTGTTATTTCTTTCACAATATTCTTTACTGTGTTATCTCAGTTATCAACTCCTTCATATTTTCCTTTTGTTTCTCCTCAATTATATTTATTCTTTCTATTAATGTCTTGATATCTGAGTTTGTAGTTTTAGACTAGTCATTCTGGGGGTTCTTCATTGTTTGTGTTCCAAAGTCTGTTTTCTCAGTGTCTGACCTTCCAGGTGTCTGTGTGAGACCCATATTCTTCTTTTGGTTTTTCTTTATTTGTGTAGATTTTACTCCCCCCACTTTTCCCCCTCTTCTTTAGTTCTATTGTTCAGAGATGGGGGATTGCTTTTACTTCTGTTTGCTCAATCTCCTATTTTTCCTTATGTGGATCCTCTGGCTTTGTTCAAATCTGAAACTAGACTATAGCTTTGGGGCTGTACTTTTTGTAGTTTTGAGATTTAATTGTGCGGGAGCTGTGATTTAGAATCTATCTGCAGATTCCAGTATCTACCCACAGGTGTCTGGGCACCCTGGAACCAATTTCCCATTGCCTTACAATCTATCCATGAAATGGGGGTATAGATTTGCTCCCTGAAAGCAAAATGAGGTAAGATAAAGGAAAAGAATGGACAAAAGGAAGAAAGGGGCAAGAGGAAAGTGGAGAGAATGAAGAATAAGAAGGAAAACAGACAGATGTACCAACTAACAAATGAAAAGAGACACAAAGACAGAAAAGAATAAAAAAAACTAAAGCGTACAGACAATTATACGAACACACAAACCAACAAAATCCTCCCTATTGATGTACTCTTCCCATATACAAAAAGTATGTCTAAAGAAAACAAAATCAATAAAATAACAGAAACAAAGCATGTATGATAATGTCATCAAAAATAGAGAGGGAAAAAAACTGAAACAAAAAGGAAACAAACCAAAGTGAGCAAAACAAACAGACAAACAACAATAACAACAACAAAAACCAGGGAACCAAACTCACTCTGAGGTTGTTACTGTAAATCGAATGTTCCTTCAGCTCTGATCTCTAGCTCTTCCCCTCTGCTCTCAGTACAGGCTTATACAGTTGCTCTCAGCTTGGTTCAGATGCCCCAGGCCCATTGTGGAAGGAGGTGGATCAGATCTGGACTCATCTGGCTTGCTGCCTGTCAGGTCTGCCACTCAGATCTGACCTGTCTATGTCTGATCCAGCATGAGGAAGGGACTTCTGTCTCTCTGAGTTTGATAAAATGGCTGCAGTCTGCATTTCCTTACCAGAGATGGGGCTCCTCTCTGGCTCTCCCCGATCTTTTCTCTCCACTGATCGGATCTAGAACTATAGCTTATTTGCTGTAACAGATGATGGTATGGGCCAAGCTCCAGGCAGTGATCATCAGCTGATTCAGCAGGTTCTTCTCAGGAGAGTCCTGTGAACAGCAGATGATCCTGTATGCAGCAGCTCCAATCTCAGGGCTGGGGGGGTTGCAATCACCTTCAGAGAAGAGCCCAGGTGCATGACCCTGAGTCTTCCCTCAGATGGACTTTCACTCACCCGCCAACACACGCCTACTCATGCAGAGAGTCTTTATGGACACTTGCTTTTGTGCAAACTCTCAAAGTACAACCCGTCCTGTGGCAATTTTGTGCTACTCCCTATGCTACCCTTTTTAATAGCAAATGGTGATAGAGGGTGTTGTAAAATCTGACAGAATTGTGTCATGCTAATAATGTTTCTATTAAATCAATAGCTTAGCATGAAACAATTATGTCATTCAAACAAGCTGAACATTTGTATCTATTTTGGTCATTAGTGTCTACCAAAAAGAGAAAATAAATCTGTTGAATTCCTACTCCTTTTGTTTACTGCCTTTTTTTCTTTAAAAAAAGTGAATGTGACAAGTGTGCATTCATTCACATCCTAATTAATTTGTACTCTGCCTTGGGCAGGTTGTATGTTGGATTAGTAGCTATTGGTAACTATTTGATTTTATGTTTTATCAGGAGCTACCACTATAGAAAAATATGACCTCAGAACAAATTTGTGGATCCAGGCAGGGATGATGAACGGCAGAAGGTTGCAGTTTGGTGTGGCTGTTATTGATGACAAACTCTTTGTTATTGGAGGTCGAGATGGCTTAAAGACACTGAACACTGTTGAATGTTACAATCCTAAAACAAAGACTTGGACTGTCTTACCACCAATGTCAACACATAGACATGGTCTAGGTAAGATCTCTTACTTTATTCATATTATTTTAGATACATGTTATTCATAGTGTAAATGTATACTAATGTATCGTATTAATGTTTGTCTTAGTTTGTATTGCTATAAAGAAATACTTGAAACTGGGTAACTTATTTTTTAAAAGTTTTATTTGGCTCATGATTCTGCTGGCTGGGAAGTTGAGAATCTGGTGGAAGTCTCAGATTACTTCCACTTATAGCAGAAGGTGAGGAGGAACTCACATGTCTAGAGATCACATAGCAAGAGAGAAAATGAGAGAGGGGAGGTGTGAAGCTCTTGTGAGAAGTAACAAAACAAGAAGCTAATCATCATCTCAAGGACAGTACCAAGCCATTCATGAGGACTCTACCCTCATAACCCAAACACCTCTCATCAAGCCCCATCTCCAACCCTGGTGATAAAATTCACCATGAGTTTGGGGGATGCAAACATCCAAACTATATTAATTCCATAAATTATCATTATGTTTAGGGAAAGTGTGGGCTTATGTGAAGCATATTTTTTCTTTAGAGTTTGACTTTTTTTTTATTGATCAGTATGCATTTGAACTGTTGAGAGAGATGTTAATGATCCCTAAATGAGAAGACCTAAGTTGTTCTGAAATTTTTCACATTCTAACAATCATGCAATATGTGAAAACTGATAGGATAAAATGCAATATTATGGAGAAACCAAAGTAGTACAACTCAGAGGGAAAAATAGTTAGTGTTAGTTGAGTAAAAATTAAAGGGAATGCCTTTCATATTGATGGATAGGCAAATCTATATTTTACCTTAATTGTACTTTTCAGTATTTAATTTATCTCACCTTGAAAAGTCTGTGGGGAAGACAGCAATACATGTTATTAGAAAGAACAACATATAGAATGAACAACAGTTGGCATTATAAGTCAATTTGATAGGATTAATCTGCTTTCTGCTAAGGAGTAACTTGTAAAATAAAGAAAACTATGTTTAGATTCAGAAGATATGGGTATGGGTCTTGAATTTACCACATTCTATATGTATTATTTAAGACCAGCAAACCCAGCCCCAGTTTCCTGATTTGCCACCAATTCAAAGTTATTAAGTGGGTAAAAATCTAATAATTATAATGATTATAAAAATCACCTTGTAAATTACAGAGCCTTATACATTTTTTTTAAAGAGAAATTTAATGAAGACTAGTCATTCCTGACTTTGTACTTTGTATCATGGTGATTATAAGAGAAGTGCACGTTACTTTTCTTGAACCTAAAATAATATAGAAAATTGACTGTTTTTATAAAATATATTTATAATTTGCATATGTAATTGCAAATCCACAGAGTTTAATTGCAAATCCACAGTCATTCATAGGTAAGCAAAACTGTAGACCATTTTAATAACAAATACGAATAATTGCTCAATGTTGAAGTGTCCAGGGCTACTATATTTCCCGTGTATATCTACTTCACCATCAATCTAAGAAAAACTAAAAAAAAAAAAAATGCATAGACAGATATGAGAGACAGACATAGAGAGAGAGGAGAGAAACAAAATACCTCTGAGCTAAGAAACTTACCTCTTTGACCTTTATTAAACTAGTTCATCTCCCTTTTCTTTAGCTTGCTCACTAGTACAATTAAAACAAAATTATAATGAATATCTGAGAATATTTTTAAAGTTCTAAAAAATTATAAATTTATATTAAAATCTCATAAATTATTTAGATTACACTGGACCCAATATAATATGGAAAGATTAAACAGCAAATTCTTTTTCCCAGAAAACATAAATAGAAAAAGTTTCTTATGTATTTTCATCACTATATTAGAGAAGTATGACTTTTAGATACATTTAAAAGTCTATGCTGCTGTTTTTATTAGCTAGCTAGCTAACTAACTATCTATGTTCCTATTTGAAAAAAAAATGTAGAGAATTTGCACTCTGGATTAAAATATTTGGAATTTAATGTCTCTTTCCCTTTTTGTTTTAGTAATTTATTTTTTTTCTATTAAGATAGGCTACAGTTAAATTACGTAGAATATTTGCATGTCAGCACAACATATCTGAAACCTTCTCACCAAAAATAAACATTGAGTGCTGTAACTTCAGAGTTAAGTATATAGGGTGATGGTTTGCCTGAAATGCTGTCAGTCTGCTAGCCCATTAAGTACCAATGCCAAGAAGGATGGTAAAGATTATTCTCTTGGATAATCCATTTTTGTATGTCTTATTTGTTAAAAATTCATTGTAAAGACACATGCAGAAGTGAGGTGTCATAAGAAATTATATGAGCCAAGTACTACATCTGAAATATAATGAAGTGTTTTCCACAGGTGTAACTGACACTATAATAACTCTAAAAGCCCACTATGTCCATGTGAAAATTTCTCTTTTGATTTTTGTTTCTTCTATTTCAGTCTCATTACCAAGTGTATCACCTGTCTTCCCCATCTCATGTCACTTGCTTCCTCTGTATTTTACTTCTCAATGGTTATTGCTCCCCGTCATTTAAAACAAAAAACAAAGCAAACAAAAACCTCTAGTACAGTATTGCTCAATTTCTGACCTGATTGGATTAGTAGTAAAATCATACTACAGCACATATTTCTGGGAACAATTCTCATGTCACAGTACCTCACAGATGACTGGCCATGTTTTCATAGAAAATTTTCTTTGATTTACACACCAGTCAGAGGTCCAATTTTGAAACCAAGTAGCTAGGGGCTACCTGTTCTCTGATAAGGCACAGTGCTTCCTTTGTAATCAGTCATATGCTTCGTTGCTTAGAGTATGGAAGATGCAGTACAGTAACTCTTCTTAAAAGAACAATATGGGGTAGTCAAAACCACATGCATCAAGTGTTCTTCAAGATATTCCTTCGGGGCTGTCCCTTAAATTTTTGCCTCACTCAGAAAGTCACAAGTGATGTTTATCTCTCTAGTTGTTTTTATAGTCTTGATGCAAATATATACCATGACTTTTCCTTCAATGTAATAGGTAGTATTGAGTTTTGGTGTAAATCCACAGCCTGGGCTGGTTTTCTATTTGCTCAGAAACTAGAATGCCTCATTTTATTTGCCACATAATTAATCAGCACTTAATTGTGGCATGTAGTCGAATTATAAAATTGAATGTGGAATACCGTATTGCACATCAAGTGACAAGGAGTTAGAGTCTAAAGAAAAAATTTAAAAACTTAAAATATGTTTTGATCATTATATATTTTTTTCCTTTTCCTTTTTTGTGACAAAATAATTCCTTGCATGATTTTAAGAGGATGTCACATGAATTCTGTAGTTACTAAAGATAATTATGTGGTTTAAAAGAGCTATCAGTGAATCATCCTTTTGTTGGATAAAATAGCATAGAAAATTATATGCATATTAAGTCTGTGACATTAAGGGAGCAATGCATCTCCCTAGAATTAAATTAATTAAGACCACAGTTCTCTCAATATGCTATGAGTTTTTATTTTATGTCTTTAAGATATATAATTCTACATATTATTTTTTCAAAAAATTTTATAGTGCATAAAACTTAATATGAAATTACTATAATACACTATTTTAATTAAGTCTTTTATGGAGAAATCAAAGAGTAATTTAGTGACTTTCTATTTTCTACACACATACCACACATATTTGTATACATATGATAAATATATGTTAGGGGTTGTTTTTTTTTTGAATTGGGTTTGGTATAACCATGATATAATTCACATACCAGAAAATTAATTAAGTTTTAAAGTGTAGAATTCAGTGGTTTTGAGTTATACTCAGAGTTGAAAAGCCATTACATTTAGCAAATTCCAGAACATGTTTATCATTCTAAAAAGAAATTCTGTACCCAATTGCAGTCACTCTTTATTACCCTATCCTTGGAAGCAATCCATTTTGTCCCTATGGATTTGCCTATTCTGGAGATTTCATACAAAAAGGATTATACAATTTGTGGCCTTTGTGTATGGTTTCTTTCATATAGCATAATGTTTTCAAAGTTCATTCAAGGTAGCCTGTATCATTATTTCATTCCTTTTATGTCTGAATAATATTCCATTGTAAATCTTTACCACATTTTTAAACATCATCAACAGGAAGACATTTGGCTTGTTTTCCAGTTTTTACTGTTATGAATAAAACTGCTATAAGCATTCATATATGTAATTTGGGATTTGAACATGATCAGTTCTCTTGGGTTTATACATAGGTGTGGGAGGAACTGCAAAATTGTTTTCCAAAAGGATTACTATTTTCTATTTATACCAGCAATGTATGAAGGTGCTAATTTCTCTGTTGCCTTGCCTATGCTTGTTCTCTTCATTAAAATATTCCAGGTATATTTAAAGTAATATCTCATTGTGGGTTTATATACATTTCTCCATTTATTATTCTTGATAATATTTTCATGTGCTTATTGGCCACCACTTGTATACCTTCTTTGGAGGAAGATCTGTTAAAATATTTTTCCATTTTCTGCTTTTGTTTTATTGTTGAGTTGTAAGTGGTATTTTTATATTTTGGATACAAGTTATCTATCAGATATAAGTCTTGCAAGTATTTTCTCTCATTATATGTTTGCTTAATAGTATCCTTTGAATTACAAAAGTTATTAACTTGATAAAGTCAAATTTATGTATGTATGTATGTGTGTGCGTATGTATGTATGTGTTTGTGATTTTGTCAGCATATCTAAAAATTGTTGTCTAATCTATGGTCATAAAGACTTATGTCTATGTTTTTTTAGAAGTGATATAATTTTAGGTTTTTAATTCAGAAATATGAACTATTTTAAGTAAATTTTAGTATGGGATGTGAGATAGCAATTTTATTTCATTTTTTGTATGTTTGTTGTTTTAGCACAATTTGTTGAAAATACCTTTTATCCTCCATTTAGTTGTTTATATTCTTGTCAAAAGTCAATTGACCATAAGTGTGAGAATTTAGTTACACACTTTCAGTTCCATTAGTCTATACGTATATTCTTTTGCCAATGCCACACTGTCTTAATTACTATAA